TTCTTCACGGCTGCTGCAACTAACCCATCTCTTTGGGAAGGACCTACTTCCACTGGGGAATCCCGCCTACCAGTGACTGACCTCGTCTGCTGCCCGTCCCATTCACTGACGCCTATAAAAAGCGCCAGTCTTCTTGCCTTTGCTCCAGACTCTCCTCCACCACGATGCTGTGAACACTAACTCCAAGGCCGAGGGACTGATTACCTCATCTTTTGTATATAGTTCTACTGTCTTCCTATTATGTCCTAGAATCTGTATTGATAAAGCCACTGGATGGCGAAACGTCTACTACAATAAAGATATCCAGATGTTGCACATGTGTCTTAACTTTCATATTGTCGGTATTTTATACCTTTCTTTGCACAACTTGTCAGACACTGCAACATCATGGAATCTTGGTTCAGAGGACATCTACAAGACCTTCTTCACGGCTGCTGCAACTAACCCATCTCTTTGGGAAGGACCTACTTCCACTGGGGAATCCCGCCTACCAGTGACTGACCTCGTCTGCTGCCCGTCCCATTCACTGACGCCTATAAAAAGCGCCAGTCTTCTTGCCTTTGCTCCAGACTCTCCTCCACCACGATGCTGTGAACACTAACTCCAAGGCCGAGGGACTGATTACCTCATCTTTTGTATATAGTTCTACTGTCTTCCTATTATGTCCTAGAATCTGTATTGATAAAGCCACTGGATGGCGAAACGTCTACTACAATAAAGATATCCAGATGTTGCACATGTGTCTTAACTTTCATATTGTCGGTATTTTATACCTTTCTTTGCACAACTTGTCAGACACTGCAACATCATGGAATCTTGGTTCAGAGGACATCTACAAGACCTTCTTCACGGCTGCTGCAACTAACCCATCTCTTTGGGAAGGACCTACTTCCACTGGGGAATCCCGCCTACCAGTGACTGACCTCGTCTGCTGCCCGTCCCATTCACTGACGCCTATAAAAAGCGCCAGTCTTCTTGCCTTTGCTCCAGACTCTCCTCCACCACGATGCTGTGAACACTAACTCCAAGGCCGAGGGACTGATTACCTCATCTTTTGTATATAGTTCTACTGTCTTCCTATTATGTCCTAGAATCTGTATTGATAAAGCCACTGGATGGCGAAACGTCTACTACAATAAAGATATCCAGATGTTGCACATGTGTCTTAACTTTCATATTGTCGGTATTTTATACCTTTCTTTGCACAACTTGTCAGACACTGCAACATCATGGAATCTTGGTTCAGAGGACATCTACAAGACCTTCTTCACGGCTGCTGCAACTAACCCATCTCTTTGGGAAGGACCTACTTCCACTGGGGAATCCCGCCTACCAGTGACTGACCTCGTCTGCTGCCCGTCCCATTCACTGACGCCTATAAAAAGCGCCAGTCTTCTTGCCTTTGCTCCAGACTCTCCTCCACCACGATGCTGTGAACACTAACTCCAAGGCCGAGGGACTGATTACCTCATCTTTTGTATATAGTTCTACTGTCTTCCTATTATGTCCTAGAATCTGTATTGATAAAGCCACTGGATGGCGAAACGTCTACTACAATAAAGATATCCAGATGTTGCACATGTGTCTTAACTTTCATATTGTCGGTATTTTATACCTTTCTTTGCACAACTTGTCAGACACTGCAACATCATGGAATCTTGGTTCAGAGGACATCTACAAGACCTTCTTCACGGCTGCTGCAACTAACCCATCTCTTTGGGAAGGACCTACTTCCACTGGGGAATCCCGCCTACCAGTGACTGACCTCGTCTGCTGCCCGTCCCATTCACTGACGCCTATAAAAAGCGCCAGTCTTCTTGCCTTTGCTCCAGACTCTCCTCCACCACGATGCTGTGAACACTAACTCCAAGGCCGAGGGACTGATTACCTCATCTTTTGTATATAGTTCTACTGTCTTCCTATTATGTCCTAGAATCTGTATTGATAAAGCCACTGGATGGCGAAACGTCTACTACAATAAAGATATCCAGATGTTGCACATGTGTCTTAACTTTCATATTGTCGGTATTTTATACCTTTCTTTGCACAACTTGTCAGACACTGCAACATCATGGAATCTTGGTTCAGAGGACATCTACAAGACCTTCTTCACGGCTGCTGCAAACTAACCCATCTCTTTGGGAAGGACCTACTTCCACTGGGGAATCCCGCCTACCAGTGACTGACCTCGTCTGCTGCCCGTCCCATTCACTGACGCCTATAAAAAGCGCCAGTCTTCTTGCCTTTGCTCCAGACTCTCCTCCACCACGATGCTGTGAACACTAACTCCAAGGCCGAGGGACTGATTACCTCATCTTTTGTATATAGTTCTACTGTCTTCCTATTATGTCCTAGAATCTGTATTGATAAAGCCACTGGATGGCGAAACGTCTACTACAATAAAGATATCCAGATGTTGCACATGTGTCTTAACTTTCATATCCCCTGTGGGTTCTGTCCCAAGAAATATGTAGGCGAGACAGGCAGAGATCTTGCAGTCCGCCTGAATGAGCATCGAAATGCCTCTAACATAGACGATGTAAAGTACGCCTGTCCTTCAACCTTGAGGGACTGATTACCTCATTCTCCTCCTGTTCTTCAAGTTTCTCCTATGTATGGACTGATGAAGCCACTGTGTGGCGAAACGTTTCCTCAATAAAGATACCCAAGAGTTGCACATGTGTCTAATTTATCAACATGTCGGTTCTCTGAACCATTCATCTTCAAACGTGTTTTAAGGTGTTAAGTTATATGAGAACCTATATTTCTTATTTATTGTAATCTGTTAAGTAAAATGTAATCAGTGTAATTTAAAGGAAATTAATATTATTATAAGGAAAATATACTACACACGTGGAAATGTCACTGAATATAATTAAATATATGTGTATAATTGTTTTAAAGAGGCATCGAAAAATGGAAGAACGTAAACATTAACTGGAGAGAGTTCCGGGGGTCAATGTCCCCGCGGTCCGGTCTGTGACCAGGCCTTAAGGTGGATCAGGGCTATTAGTGTTCCCCGCACGCAACCTGACGTACGAATCACAGCTCGGCTGGTCAGGTACTGACTTTAGGTGCCTGCTTGAAGACAGCCAGGGGTCTATTGGTAATCCCTCTTATGTATGCTGGGAGGCAGTTGAACATTCTTGGGCCCCTGACACTTGCTGAATGGAGGGTGTATCGGCAAAAATTTGGGACCATGAAATCAATGAATATAACATGTATCTGGAAGGGTGCAGATACATTGTAAAACGGTCATAATACGGCTGATAATGAAGATAATACTGGACTCGGTGATGTTGACCACTGCATGTACTACAATATATATGTTCGTCTCCCAGTGTGGCCCGGTGGCCTGGTGGCTAAATTTCCCGCTTCACACACGGAGGGCCCGGGTTCGATTCCCGGTGGGTGGAAACATTTCGACACGTTTCTTTACACTTGTTGTCCTTTGTAGATGAATGGTTCAGAGAACCGACACATGTGCAACTCTTGAGTATCTTTATTGAGGAAACGTTTCGCCACACAGTGGCTTCATCAGTCCATACGTAGGAGAAACTTGAAGAACAGGAGGAGAATGAGGTAATCAGTCCCTCAACCTTGAGTCGATGTGTTCAGTCCATCAATCTTGAATAGAATACGGCATATCAGCGGAGAAGCAGCTTATAAACCAAATGGCAGGAGAGGTGCAGCAGTCATAGGTCGTGTCACATTTCAATGTGGAAGTAGGTCGTGCCCAAGAATTAGGCAAGCGAAGAATTCCTAAGTATTAAGATCCCAAGAAGTTGCAGTGTCTGACAGATTTGTAGATGAATGGTTCAGAGAACCGACATGTTGATAAAATAGACACATGTGCACATCTTTATTGAGGAAACGTTTCGCCACACAGTGGCTTCATCAGTCCATACGTAGGAGAAACTTGAAGAACAGGAGGAGAATGAGGTAATCAGTCCCTCAACCTTGAGTCGATGTGTTCAGTCCATCAATCTTGAATAGAATACGGCATATCAGCGGAGAAGCAGCTTATAAACCAAATGGCAGGAGAGGTGCAGCAGTCATAGGTCGTGTCACATTTGTTCGTGTGTCTATTTTATCAACATGTCGGTTCTCTGAACCATTCATCTACAAATCTGTCAGACACTGCAACTTCTTGGGATCTTAATACTTAGGAATTCTTCGCTTGCCTAATTCTTGGGCACGACCTACTTCCACATTGAACAAATGTGACACGACCTATGACTGCTGCACCTCTCCTGCCATTTGGTTTATAAGCTGCTTCTCCGCTGATATGCCGTATTCTATTCAAGATTGATGGACTGAACACATCGACTCAAGGTTGAGGGACTGATTACCTCATTCTCCTCCTGTTCTTCAAGTTTCTCCTACGTATGGACTGATGAAGCCACTGTGTGGCGAAACGTTTCCTCAATAAAGATACCCAAGAGTTGCACATGTGTCTATTTTATCAACTTGTTGTCCTGTTCACCTAGCAGCAAATAGGTACCTGGGTGTTAGTCGACTGGTGTGGGTCGCATCCTGGGGGACAAGATTAAGGACCCCAATGGAAATAAGTTAGATAATCCTCGATGACGCACTGACTTTCTTGGGTTATCCTGGGTGGCTAACCCTCCGGGGTTATTAGGTAAGACACATATGCAACAGTTAGGTATCTTTATTTCGAAACGTTTCGCCTACACAGTAGGCTTCTTCAGTCGAGTACAGAAAAGTTGATAGAAGCAGAAGAGACTTGAAGACGATGTAATCAGTCCATCACCCTTAAAGTTTTGAGGTGGTCAGTCCCTCATGGGTGATGGACTGATTACATCGTCTTCAAGTCTCTTCTGCTTCTATCAACTTTTCTGTACTCGACTGAAGAAGCCTACTGTGTAGGCGAAACGTTTCGGAATAAAGTTGTCTAACTGTTGCATATGTGTCTTACCTAACAAGTCAAAGATTGTTCAAAAATCAAAACAAAAACAATAAGAAGTGTTCACACTCACCATTAGTAGCCATGACTGCCAACACCTCTCCACCTCGAGCCTCGAGGGAGATACCATCTAGAAGGTGAGTTGGTCCTCCACTTCCACGAGTTTCGTACACCACACCACGCACCTGTAGGTGAGGACCCTTCACCTCTATTCCACCATCTTCTGGCCATGGGTTGTCACGGGGAAAAAGCTTGTCGTTGAGCATAGGCGGATCTCGGTAGGCTGTACCATCCGGGGGCTGTTTGAGGCCAGGGGAGTAATGTAGGTGAGTGTTATGGGCGTGAAGGCGGTGGGTGGTGGTACTAGGGTGGGTTGTGGTGCTAGGATGAGTAGTAGCGTGGGCGGTGGTGCTAGGATGAGTCATGGTGTGGGTGGTTGTACTAGGATGAGTGGTGGTGTGGGTGGTGGTGCTGATGTACGTGGGAGTAGCATTGTAGGTGTATGATGAGAGGTGAGAGGTAGGGGTGTGTGTGGAGGTAATGGGGTTCACTGAAGGTGGGTTGAGTGGGGGCGGGGAGTGAGAGGACTTTGGGTATTTGGCATGGAGAGGGTACTGCGAGGTGTGGTTAGGGACTGTGTACGAGAAGAGAGAGTAGCCGAAGGACTTGTGGGAAGGATTGGAAAGGCCCGTGGTGGACTTGTGAGAAGGGAGCAAGCTAGGGGAGAGCTTGTGTGTGGAGGTTAGTGCTCTGTAAGGAAGCTGATGTGAAGAGTTAGAAGCCTCCTGCGAGGCTACACCGCTGGGAAAGGGACGAGGAGGGAATTTATTTAGGCGAATGTACTCCATTTTAGCAAGGCAAAAATTGAGTTGTCAGTTATCAGATGTTCTTTATTGTAGGAAGCCCTGCAAGGTGACCTGTCCAATACTGCGATCACTGTAATGTGTAGTGTCCAATACTACGATCACTGTAATGTGTAGCGTCCAATACTACGATCACTGTAATATGTAGTGTCCAATACTACGATCACTGTAATGTCTATATAGCGTTCAATATTGCGAGCACTAATATGTAGTGTGCAATACTGGGATCACTAACATGTGTACCATGTAGCCTCCACATTCATCACATACATTAATGGCGAGTTAATTAGCAGCATTAACCATTACATATATAACTTTTATCAAAACCAACCCTTACTACATTTTCTGAAATATTTACGTGCATTACGAAAGGTCACTGACAGACAAGTAAACCATCCGCTACTATATTCAATGTAAACATCTCTGAACACCACAGTACATTGTCCCTCACGATTCACTGTAGACAAATTCACCGTCCACCACAGCTCACTGCAGAAAAATTCACCGTCCACCATAGTTCACTGTAGACATTACTCTGTAGACTGTAGACATTAACTGTCCACAACAGTTCATTGTAGACAAGTTCACCGTCCACCAAAGGAAGACTAAGAACAAATTCTTGAGATAATTAACCCTGGAGGGCTGACCACCCAGGATAGACAGCAGTGTGGTTTATTTTTGTTGCAGTCATTAAGCCGTCCTGGCTAAGATATGACCCCAAAACAGTGGCTAACTCCTAGGAATCTATTTACGATACGGTTAGGTGAATATTTACAGCGGGTGTAAGGAGACTTTCCCCTCATCTCTCTACTTCGGGGCCTTTCGGTTGTAAGGCAAACACTACAGGGTGTCCAGTATAGACGGGTCTGTGGTTCTCCAGCACAGAGACAACCGGAGAAGAACGCTCGCCATCAACGCGGGCCGCACACTGAACACTACTGGGCTTGCTTCTCTCGTCTGGACTCTGGACCAAACTTCCCACCACTCCACACCACACATACTGCTCACTCGCTTAGTAAAACCAAAAACTTTCTCGCAATACTGCTCATTCTCCCTAGAACCTGTTCTTTTGTACATTATAGTTAATTAACGGTCACACATAAGACTGAGGACTAAGACAACCTCCAATGGTAGGTTAGGCATCATAATTTGTACAATTACAGTCTTCAAGAGGGTGCCCCGATGGTAAAGGGCTTTTGATTCGAGGATTTTCCTTTTGCTGGGATTAAACATGATAACCTCCTATTTCCCATCTTCCTCTGTGGGTTTCGTGTTTTTCTTTAATTATCAAGTCCGGCAGGCCGGACTTATATAAATAACCCGCACATAGCAGAGAGGAGCTTACGACGACGTTTCGCGAAACGTCGTCGTAAGCGCCTCTCTTCTATGTGCGAGTTATTTGTGTATTGTTCCAGTCACGGTATTCTGCCTTTTTTGTTATTTAGGCCGGACTTGATTCCTAGAGATGGGAAGCACAGTGCCGGCACTCTGAAGGAGGGGTGTTAATGTTGCAGTTTTATAACTGTAGTGTAAGCATGCCTCTGGCAAGACAGTGATGGAGTGACTGATGATAAGTTTTTCTTTTCTCGGGCCACCCTGCCTTGGTGGGAAACTGCCGATGCGTTAATAATAAAAAAATAAATTAGTACATACTGCAAAATTTCTATAAGCATAAGTATTAGTGGTGAAGTGTAACCCGAGTGCTCTATGCACACCTGACTAGTACTTGATCTGTTCAAGCTGCTTTAGGGTAGAAATATAAACATAGGTACTTCACATTTAGTAAATGCATATCTTAATGCTTATTCCTAACAATCTTGCTAATATTAGATGAAGGGATCTTACTAGCCTTCATTAATCTTACCAATAAAACATTGTTCTAATTGTTTTCGTCCATAAGACAGGGCAATTACTAAATGATCCATACTTTTTAAATTATTATTACACGTGTGCTTAAAAATATCAACATAGCACTCTACCTCACGATTGTCAGTATTCATACACACACACACAGTGAAGAGGCGGGGCCAGGAGCTAGGACTCGATCCCTGCAACCTCAACTAGGTGAGGACACACACACACACACACACATAATCGACAAGTGCCTTTGACAATCTGTAATTATTACAGCGAACCAAGTAATGACATTATCATTTCAAAGAAATGGAGATAATTAATATTTAACCTTCCTGTGTTATATAATACCCAATTTGCAATAAGTTTTTCCTTATATGTTGACCATAGTCAATATAACTTTAAAAATAAAAAATATTTTAAAAGTATAGGTATTCGGCACGACATATATGTATGTCGTGCCGAACAGGTAAAACTTGCGATTTTGGCTTAAATAGCAACGCTCTTCTTGCCGAATAAGGCAAGCGAAAATTTGTGTATGCAATAATTTAGCAAAAATCATCCTGAACCTAACGAAAAAAAAATTTTCATTGTTTTTATTATTAAATTATTGTAAACTTATCTAGAATATATTTAGTTGGGCTGGGCTAAATTAAATTGTGCTTGTTATAAAAAGGTTAGGTAAGTTTTCTAAGGTTCTTTTGGTACAAAATTATTAATTTTTACATTAACATAAATGAAAAAAATCATTAAACGTATAAAAGAAAATTTTTGAAAGGATTTAATTTTACACGAGTTCTTGCTAACTGACCAGTTTTACTTATTCGGCATGACATACCTTTATATATATATATATATATATATATATATATATATATATATATATATATATATATATATATATATATATATATATATATACAGGAAAGAGTAAGGTTATGAGGATAACAAAAAGATTAGGTGATGAAAGATTGGATATCAGATTGGAGGGAGAGAGTATGGAGGAGGTGAATGTATTCAGATATTTGGGAGTGGACATGTCAGCGGATGGGTCTATGAAAGATGAGGTGAATCATAGAATTGATGAGGGGAAAAGGGTGAGTGGTGCACTTAGGAGTCTGTGGAGACAAAGAACTTTGTTCTTGGAGGCAAAGAGGGGAATGTATGAGAGTATAGTTTTACCAACGCTCTTATATGGGTGTGAAGCATGGGTGATGAATGTTGCAGCGAGGAGAAGGCTGGAGGCAGTGGAGATGTCATGTCTGAGAGCAATGTGTGGTGTGAATATAATGCAGAGAATTCGTAGTTTGGAAGTTAGGAGGAGGTGCGGGATTACCAAAACTGTTGTCCAGAGGGCGGAGGAAGGGTTGTTGAGGTGGTTCGGACATGTGGAGAGAATGGAGCGAAACAGAATAATTTCAAGAGTGTATCAGTCTGTAGTGGAAGGAAGGCGGGGTAGGGGTCGGCCTAGGAAAGGTTGGAGGGAGGGGGTAAAGGAGGTTTTGTGTGCGAGGGGCTTGGACTTCCAGCAGACATGCGTGAGCGTGTTTGATAGGAGTGAATGGAGACAAATGGTTTTTAATACTTGACGTGCTGTTGGAGTGTGAGCAAAGTAACATTTATGAAGGGGTTCAGGGAAACCGGCAGGCCGGACTTGAGTCCTGGAGATGGGAAGTACAGTGCCTGCACTCTGAAGGCAAGACAGTGATGGAGTGAATGATGGTGAAAGTTTTTCTTTTTCGGGCCACCCTGCCTTGGTGGGAATCGGCCAGTGTGATAAAAAAATTATATATATATATATTATATATATATATATATATATATATATATATATATATATATATATATATATATATATATATATATATATAATATATATATATATATATATATATATATAAATTATTGCCGATTACCTCCTAGACGCTGTATGGATCCATGTTTAGCATTTTCCCACGAATATAATTATAAGCAACACCTCGCTTATCAGTCAAGACTTTGTACTGTACTAGGCTGGTGAGGTACCTGGTTAAATATGGCGCCGTGTTGCCTAGAGCGTCTGGAGACGAGGGATATGTGGGAACCTTCCAGTTTGTTGAAGCCTCGCCCGCCACCATCACGCTCACGGTAGTATACGTCTGAAGCCAGCAAGTTGGCCTCACTGGAGCTCTGCTGGACACAACCTTTTTAGTGCTACCTGCTGTGTGGTCAGCAGGTTGGCCTCACATGAGCACTACTGACACAACCTACCTAGTATTTATTACCTTAACGTAGGTCTTAAACCAAATAAGCTATCGACTATCAAACTAATGGAAATACTTCAGTATTTGGAGAAATTTATCCGGAAACCCAAATATGCTACATATTCTTGTAGACAAGTGGTTTTCATGAATTATTACTCCATACGAAATGATGACTGATAGATAGACAGATAGATAGACAGATAGATAGATAGATAGATAGATAGATAGATAGATAGATAGATAGAGAGAGAGAGAGAGAGAGAGAGAGAGAGAGAGAGAGAGAGAGAGAGAGAGAGAGAGAGAGAGAGAGATTTATCTCGGGTTATACACTCTCCCCAAGAAACATACTTAAGCCTTGCTATTTTTGGTACTAATAAATCCAGACTCAAATGTTGACTGTGAATGATAAATATGAGTGTTCCTAGTGTTTTGTTACCCGTGAGTCTGGTAACCACCAGTCACGAGTAATGGCTGTGAGGCGTCCCTCACCTTGGTCTTCGAGTCCCTGGGTGAGGTTAGTGGGTTCCAGTCTCTGGCTGCCACCAAGTCCGGGTTACTTTTGCTTCTTGTGTACCTGTCTCCCAGTCCTATAGGTGACGCCTCTTCCTCTCTTCTCCTTACTCCTGCTGTTGTTGCTGCTGCTGCAGCTCCACCATCATCGCTGGAGTCATAGCCGCTGCTGCCGTCTCTCCCAGCCAGAGTTGGAGGAAACACACGAGGTAGTCCGAACTTGAGGTAGGTAAACATATTCGAGCCCAGTTCACTTTTGGGACCATACCTGCAACACAAGAAATTTTGCATATAACCAACTTGTTTAGAATTATTGTTCAGAACACAGCAGTAGGCCTGCTGCAGTGTTTTTCGATTATGTTCTTATTTTTAATATGCATGCCCATTTTCGGGTCCACAAAGACCAATCCTCACACAGCTTTCTGTCCACTGTGTGTGTGTGTACACACACACAAAGAATATCTTAATCAGAATACTTCCCAAAGCATCTTACTGCGGCTGTAATCTTAAGAATATTCGAGTATATGAGTTAATAGTTATAATATTTTGCAAACCTTCCGCCACTTAACTGGCTGGTACAATGTACAGTTATTGAGTATGTGTGGGGGAGGGGGTGTGCGCGGTGATTGGTCCATGTCCTGTGGGAAGCTCACAGTTCTCAGCGCTAATGTTTGGTCCATGTTAGCGGATGTTAAACCGTCCTCCCCTCCATTAGAACCCCCACCCTTTCTCCCCTCCCTCATTCCAGCCCTCATAACTACTACTATAATTTGCACCTTTCTTTATCTTCGAATTAAATTTGATTACATCCCTTTTTCCAAGTTAAGTATGTTCCTTGCAGCTTTATCACGCCATGAATAATAATAATAATAATAATAATAATAATTATAAATTAATTATAAAAATAATAACATGCTTACTTGCCACAATGTTTGGGTAAGGGAATCTGTTACATATTTGTCAGTGTCAGCCACATACAACCACCAATGACAGCTACATACAACCGACATGTCATAGTGACAGGCACATACAATCATCAATATGTCACAAGACTCATCAAACTGGCATATAGAAAACATCGGAGGACATGTGAATACTGAGCCACAAAGATGGGAAAGCTTTGAAATATCTCTGCTGCTTAGATAGTGAACAGTGAACTTTACAACCTGCTACAACCCCCCTAGTGCCCCCAACACACACACACACACACACACACACCTGAAAATCGACCCCTGCAACCACATATATGTGAGAGAACACACTCATGGTACAGACTGACTGACGGAAGTTGCCAGTGTTCGGCTCAACTAAAGGACCCGGATTCAGTCCCAGTAGAGGCGAGACGTAGTGAAAGAATTCCTGTTACCTGTTGCCCGTGTTCAACTTAAGTAAATAGATATCTAGAAGGTAGTGGGCTGCCGTGGGTGGCATCGCAGGGTAAAGGCCCTTAATACTTCGTGGGAAATAAAACACTAGTACTCAGGGGGTAATAATCCCAATGAAATAGTTAGGGTCTTTGAGGACAGCATGATATACATACATTGTGAAACACACACACACTGCGGGAACCAAATGACTGCTCATCTTTACAGAAAAATATAAACAACGGGAGGTGAATTAGTAAATCTTAACCCCTTCAATGTCTCGTGATGTTTGGTAAAAAACTCTTCATGCAGGTTAACCTCCACTTACTCGTATCTAATCTCATTATGTATTAATTTCCAGTCACGGCTAATTATTAGGGATGAAATGAGAGTTGACTTCCTAATAAACTTGAATATCGCAGCTCAGTTGGTAGCGTTCTCAGCTCATACAGTGAGGGATCGGGGATCGCTTCCCGGTCGGGATGAAACGTTGGGCATGTTTCCTTACACCTGCTGCTCTTGTTCACCTACCAGTAAGTAGGTATCTGAACGTTAGTCACCTTACACCTGCTGCTCCTGTTCGCATAGCAGTAAGTAGGTACCTGAACGTTAGTCACCTTACACCTGCTGCTCCTGTTCGCATAGCAGTAAGAAAGTTGTGTTAGCTGACTTATGGGTGGCATCCTTGGGGAGAAGCTTAAAAGTCCACCCCTCCGGGGTTAAAAATCCGAACAAAATTTTATACCTTAACGTCCATCTTCCTTCCTATGCTTGATATTCATCAAGACTAAGGGAATGAACACCTAGGTTGAGGAACCGAACACCTCATGTTCTATTGTCTCCAGTTTCAATACCTTTAAATAACCTCTGCAATGAATTGCTAAAGGTTTTGGTTGGTGAAAATCGTTCAGAATAAAGATACCCAGCTGTAGCACAAGTCTCATATTCATTCACCTGGGAGTTAGTCGACTGTGGCGGGTCGCATCCTGAGGCAGGACCTAAAAAGAATCCAAATGAAAATAAGCCACAGTGAATGGGGCTATTGAGTTATCCTCTATTACTAACCCATGGGGTTAGTTTATCTGGAGTTTACCTGGAGAGAGTTCCCCGCGGCCCGGTCTGTGACCAGGCCTCCTGGTGGATCAGAGCCTGATCAACCAGGCTGTTGCTGCTGGCTGCACGCAAACCAACGTACGAGCCACAGCCCGGCTGGTCAGGAACCGACTTTAGGTGCTTGTCCAGTGCCAGCTTGAAGACTGCCAGGGGTCTGTTGGTAATCCCCCTTATGTATGCTGGGAGGCAGTTGAACAGTCTCGGGCCCCTGACACTTATTGTATGGTCTCTTAACGTGCTAGTGACACCCCTGCTTTTCATTGGGGGGATGTTGCATCGTCTGCCAAGTCTTTTGCTTTCGTAGTGAGTGATTTTCGTGTGCAAGTTCGGTACTAGTCCCTCTAGGATTTTCCAGGTGTATATAATCATGTATCTCTCCCGCCTGCGTTCCAGGGAATACAGTTTTAGGAACCTCAAGCGCTCCCAGTAATTGAGGTGTTTTATCTCCGTTATGCGCGCCGTGAAGGTTCTCTGTACATTTTCTAGGTCAGCAATTTCACCTGCCTTGAAAGGCGCTGTTAGTGTGCAGCAATATTCCAGCCTAGATAGAACAAGTGACCTGAAGAGTGTCATCATAGGCTTGGCCTCCCTAGTTTTGAAGGTTCTCATTAACCATCCTGTCATTTTTCTAGCAGATGCGATTGATACAATGTTATGGTCCTTGAAGGTGAGATCCTCCGACATATCACTCCCAGGTCTTTGACGTTGGTGTTTCGCTCTATTTTGTGGCCAGAATTTGTTTTGTACTCTGATGAAGATTTAATTTCCTCGTGTTTACCATATCTGAGTAATTGAAATTTCTCATCGTTGAACTTCATATTGTTTTCTGCAGCCCACTGAAAGATTCGGTTGATGTCCGCCTGGAGCCTTGCAGTGTCTGCAATGGAAGACACTGTCATGCAGATTCGGGTGTCATCTGCAAAGGAAGACACGGTGCTGTGGCTGACATCCTTGTCTATGTCGGATATGAGGATGAACAAGATGGGAGCGAGTACTGTGCCTTGTGTAACAGAGCTTTTCACCGTAGCTGCCTCGGACTTTACTCTGTTGACGACTACTCTCTGTGTTCTGTTAGTGAGGAAATTATAGATCCATCGACCGACTTTTCCTGTTATTCCTTTAGCACGCATTTTGTGCGCTATTACGCCATGGTCACACTTGTCGAAGGCTTTTGCAGTCTGCATATATTACATCTGCATTCTTTTTGTCTTCTAGTGCATTTAGGACCTTGTCGTAGTGATCCAATAGTTGAGACAGACAGGAGCGACCTGTTCTAAACCCATGTTGCCCTGGGTTGTCTAACTGATGGGTTTCTAGATGGGTGGTGATCTTGCTTCTTAGGACCCTTTCAAAGATTTTTATGATATGGGATGTTAGTGCTATCGGTCTGTAGTTCTTTGCTGTTGCTTTACTGCCCCCTTTGTGGAGTGGGGCTATGTCTGTTGTTTTTAGTAACTGTGGGACGACCCCCGTGTCCATGCTCCCTCTCCATAGGATGGAAAGGCTCGTGATAGGGGCTTCTTGCAGTTCTTGATGAACACGGAGTTCCATGAGTCTGGCCCTGGGGCAGAGTGCATGGGCATGTCATTTATCGCCTGTTCGAAATCATTTGGCGTCAGGATAACATCGGATACCTGGAGTTTACCTGGAGAGAGTTCCGGGGGTCAACGCCCCCGCGGCCCGGTCTGTGACCAGGCCTCCTTAGGTCAGTGTCCCAGGATGCGACCCACACCAGTCGACTAACACTCAAGTACCCATTTTACTGATGGGGAACATAGACAACAGGTGGAAAGAAACACGTCCAATGTTTCTACTCTGGCTGGGAATCGAACCCAGGCCCTCGCCGTGTGAAGCGAGAGCGTTAACCACCAGGCCAGGCTTGTGTTAACCAAATTTTGTGGCTCTCTCATAAAAAAATCATTTTGATCTTCGACTCTCAGTCTGGTTAGCGGCTTGCTAAAAACTGAGTCATATGGGACTTGAGTAGCTCACTCATTTCCTTGCTGTCATCTGTGCAGGACCCATCTTGTTTAAGTAGGGGCCCAATACTGGACGTTGTTCTCGACTTTGATTTGGCATAGGAGAAGAAATACTTTGGGTTTCTTTCGATTTCATTTATGGCTTTTAGTTCTTCCCGCGATTCCTGACTCCTATAAGATTCCTTTAGCTTAAGTTCGATGCTTGCTATTTCTCTGACCAGTGTCTCCCTACGCATTTCAGATATATTGACCTCTTTTAGCCGCTCTGTTATTCTTTTCCAGATCATCATTGTTAGTGAAGATGAGGTCTAGTGTATTCTCCAGTCTAGTAGGCTGCAGAGATTTAAAAGCTCGTGTGAGTGTGAGTTTTCATCAGAGCTGTCTCCTGGTGTTATTACTGCAACAATATTATTTGCTATATTCCTCCATTTTAGGTGCCTTAAGTTGAAATCCCCCAGGAGCAAGATGTTGGGTGCAGGAGCTGGAAGATTTTCCAGACAGTGGTCAATTTTTAACAGCTGTTCCTGGAATTGCTGGGATGTTGCACCCGGAGGCTTGTAGACTACCACAATGACTAGGTTTTGGTTCTCGACCTTTACTGCTAAAACTTCCACTACATAGTAGGTTAGGTTAGGTAAGGTTCGTCAGGAAACAGGACAAAACTACATAGTAATGTCACTGTGGAAATAAGTCACTGTCTGACTTTCTTGGGTTATCCTAGGTTCTCTACACATATGCTGCTATGTATAATAATCTATGTAACTGTATTTGTGTATACCTGAATAAACTTACTAATCCGAATTAAATCTTCTAACTTTCACTAGACTACAACTCTAAGGGAACCAAATGTCACTTTTAAAACCACTCGAGATTTACAAAAAACGAGTATTAGCAAATAGTAAACTGAAGAAAATCTAAAACTTAACCTGGACTGTTTTTAGTGTCGCCACTCTTGGAATTTATGGGTAAGAACTGATATAAAATACCGTCAGATGTGAAATACGAGATATGCTCAGTATTAGCATGTTTTAATGAGGAAAATTTTAGCCAATAATGACTTCTTCACTGATATTATTCTAATTATTATTATTATTATTATTATTATTATTATTATTATTATTATTATTATTACTACTACTACTACTACTACTACTAGAGAGATAACCAATGGCAGTTTAATAATAAATAGTGGTAGAGGTAAGTTTATTTAGGTACAGCTATACATAAATAAGGTGCAAAGAGGCAAATTTTGCCTCGATAAATTTCATAAGATGACTGTAATAAAGCCATATGAAACTGAACGAGGAAAAACTCATTATCAGGGAAGAAGAACTAACCAGACGATGTTTAGGCTTTGATTACAACCAACACTGCTGCCCACAACTATATTATTTTGTAAATCTTTGCCAAATTAGTTCATAACCAGGATATCGCGGTCACCTAGAAGTTGGAGCTTTTGGGTACTACAAAAAGCCTAACCCTACCTCACAGCAGTACTTGTCCACTACCATCTGCCTGACAGTTATACTGGTTCCATTGCCACCTGCTCACAGTTGTACTGGTCCCACTACTGTTTGCCTCACAGTTGTACTGGTCCCACGACCGTCTGCCTCACAGTTGTACTGATCCCACTACCGTCTGCCTCACAGTTGTACTGGTTCCACTACTATCTTCCTCACAGTTGTACTGACCTCGCCTCTCTGCACCTCACTTCTTCCACTATTATCCAGTATTATCTTTCTAGGACTGAAGCCATTAGCCGTAAAACATTTCCTCATTAAAATATTTTAATACTACGCGTGCTGCCGTATCTGTAACCGACTGCTGAAGCCTGCAGTACTGACGAAACTTTTTTTTTTTATATCTATTTCTACAAGTACATGTACAAGGTTTACAGGCCTAGCTGACATCAATGATATACTATATAAAAAGCCCCTTGTTATTCAGAGCATTTCGGTCAAATTAGGCGAGTTTTGTCCCAGAATGCGACCCACACCAGTCGAATAACACTCAGGTACCCATTTTACTGATGGGTGAACAGGGACAACAGGTAAGGAAACACGTCCAATGTTCCCACCCTTGCCGGGAATCGAAGCCGAACACTCAGCGTGTGAAGCAAGAGCTTTGCCTACTAGGCCAAGAGCCTAGTCTAACTCTTCAGTGCTAGGTTTGTTGAGGATCGTGGTAACTAAGTTGCGACTGTGGAAAGTCGAGGACTGACTGAGCCGCTGCGGACCGCAAACTAGTTTGGTTCTGTTGAAGAAAAGGGACTGACCTGGGGTTGTTGAGGATGGTGTGGACCGTAGACTCTCGTAGCTGGAAGTTACCATAGGGCAATGTGGTTTTTTCCTGGGAGCCCAGCGCTGAGTCTGTGAAATCAGAGTTGAGGTTCTGGCGGTAAATGGACCAAGCATGAAGATCCAGCTTGGCAGAGGCTGACGTGGGTCCCCCTGTGGTAGAGGGAGCAAATTGTCCAAGTGAGATGACCTATGAGGATAACAACCAGGGAGGGAGGGAGCTGTCCAAGTTAAACACCATGACAACCTGAGAGGGAGGGAGACAGCCAGGAACGGAGGAAGGATGGAGGCAAATGAGACAGAGCCAGCAGGGAGGCAGGAACAGTCTGTATTAATATTGGTAGAATTACCGACAATATGTTAAGTAATAGGACACAAATGCAACTAATGTGACATTTTATTGTGGCAACGTTTCGCTCTCCAGGAGCTTTATCAAGCCGTTATTGTTTGTAACGGCTTGATAAAGCTCCTGGAGAACGAAACGTTGCTACAATAAGATGTCACATTAGTTGCATTTGTGTCCTTTTACTTAACAAGGAACAGTCTGGAAGTCAGATAACGAGAAAGCCAGAAATGGAGAGAGGCAGCAAGGAAGTGATATGGAAATCCATGGGGGGGGGGGGTGATAAAGCAAATTAAGAAATAAACAATGGAGGAGGGAAAAATCACACCATCAAAATGAAGGAGTCACTCAAGGGAAGATCATGAGACTGATAGGAAAGGGAGAGCATTTACTAAGGGAGAGGAAAGATCACTCAGTCCAGGGGAGAGAAAGACGAAAACTTTGGACAACTATATGAAATGAGAGAGTGAGAAGAACAAAGACTGTAATAAAGTAGGGAGAAAACTAAATCAATTTAAGAGGTGTGCGCGGAAACATTAAAAAATTCCTACTGCAACAAAATACATTAAAGTTCTGCCCATTCTAACTACTATCTATGGTCATTCTAGTTACAATCTCTGCCCATTCAAACTACAATCTCTGTCCATGCTAACTACAATCTGTGGACAAATATGTGGGTTTTGAGTGAATGGATTTGAGAAGGACCTGCCTAGTATGGGCCAGTAGATCTGGTGCAATGTTATGTTGTTATGAGGTGTAAATATGATGATATGTAAGTTGATAAGTAAAACACTTATGCAACAGTTAGGCATCTTTATTCCAGATTATGGAGCAGAACTCTTCTCCAGGCTGAGGGGGCTGACACCTCAAAAATACTCTTTCGAGAGTGAGGGATTGATTATATCGTCTCTATATCTCCATTGCATTTGACTGAAGCAGCCTACTGCGAAGGTGAAACGTTGCAGAATATACTTAAGTGCAGCATACATCTTATCAACTTATGAGAAAGACTTGCCTAGTTTGGGCCAGTAGGTCTGCTGCGACGTTCTTCAGCTCTTGTTTTCTGTTATTCTCTTACGTTATTCCAACTAGAAGTTTTGATCATTCCAGTAACAGTTCTAAGAACTTTAATTACAAACTTTGATCATTCTGACTAGCTCTGGCCATTCTAACTGTAAGCCTTGGTTATTTTAATTGTAAGCTTTAGGTATTCTAACTATATGCCCTAGTTATTTTAAATAGAAACAGTGGTCATTCTACATTCAAGTATTAAGCTTTATAACTACGAAAATTGTGTGACACTGTAAAATGTGTGACTTCCTACTTGTATCTACAAAACCAGAGCTATGCTTGTGTCCCGTTTTTAGTGAATAATTTAGATTATATATATATATATATATATATATATATATATATATATATATATATATATAAAATATATATATATATATATATATATAAATTTAATTTGCAATACGACTACCTTTACTCTATCAGTCTGTGACACCTTCAAGGAGGGTTTCTTGCTAAGTACAAGAATAGTAACGCACCAATTTTCCCCATTATCTGTAATTACGACTGTGATAAATTCAGATTAGCAATGTTTTATCAGTAGGTAGTGCCAGTACCTGGCTAGAGCTTGCCATATATGATTTTTGGTAAATATTTTTTCTGTTGTTTATTGGGCTATCTTATTGAAACTTGGGCAATGTGTGATGGATAGTTGCTTCTTAACGTACACCAAAAATGAAAGAAATCGGACGATAAATAACGGAGTTCACTGCTCAGCCATTAGAAGCCCCTTAAAACTCTTAGGATACGTGCAATGTTAGTCTTCTCTATTGTTCAAGGTTTTTTCAGTGTTATTCAAGGATTTTACATTTGGTTTACTATTACTCTGTGCATTCTATGATATAATTAACTATTTTTTGTGCTTAAAAATCTTAAAACAATAGTATTTACATACAGCTCGTAGGGGTCTGGAACAGATTAATCGTATTTGCATACAATCCAATGGGGAATTTAGGTTCGGGTCATGACCAGAGTTTTGGAACGAATTATGGTAGTGACCAGAAGTTCCACTGCAGTTTTCCTAAGTCTTCCTTGGATAATTCTGGAGGCGCCATCCTAGTATACACCAGAGAGGGTAAGAAGTGTCCAGGGAACAGCAGCACTACCTCTTGCGGCAGCACTGACTGATTCATGGTTGCTGTGCAGTTTATTTTGGTTTATTCTAGGAGTTACACCCCATTATTTACTCATTACGAATGAGGGCAATTATTTTT